AGGTCCCTTACCAAACAAAAGAACCAAATGCCATGGATTGGTGCTCATGGCTATCGAAAACAAGCCTCGAGCCATCGCTCGCGTACGAATACGGGCAAGCTCTCATCCGAAACGAGCTCCAACTCGAGGACCTAACCTACTTCAACCACGAGTTCCTTCAAAGCCTCGGAATCTTCGTGGCCAAACACAGGCTCGAAATACTCAAGCTAGCAAGAAAAGAGGTCGTCAAGAGGGGAATAACCATGAATTATGGTTTGTCGAGGCTAGTTTCGGCAGTAAACAAGACTCGGAAGCTCATCACGAAAAACATCTCCAAGCTCGGGCCCAAAAGAAATCCGTCCTCATTGTTTCCATTCAACAACAACAACACGGCTCCCGACGAGTCGCCTTACCGGAACCATTGGAGTGGGGCCCTCAAGAGAGTCAATGTGGGCCCTGGTAGGAACGCGATGTGGTCGGGCCCACTGGATAAGAGGATGATGCAGCAGCAAAGGTGCAGCATGGGCCCAAATAGTGTTTCTGGGCCTCTGGATGGGGGAATGATAATGAGGGAGAGGGCCGTGTATCCGGATTGGAGCCCAATGGGCCCTGGCCGGCCCATTAATGACGGACGGGTGAAAGATGGGTCGGGTTTTGTCTGTAGGAGCCCTACGGTGTCTGGGCCGATTGAAAGGTTGGGCCTCAGCCCGCACATGGGGTATGGTAGAGGCGGGAAGGTCGTGGATCGGGATCAGGGGGCTCAGTCGTTGTGGTCCATTATGTTTCGAGATATGAAGCCCACTTAAGAGATCCGGCCCATATTTCATTTGTTGATTTGTACCTTCGGTTTTGTGTGTGTTTGTGATCTTACATTCTGTTATGTCATGACTTGTGATACCTGTCTACATGAAATCTATGAAAATATGTTGTATGTGTGTATATCCAGTGGTTTACTCCTACTCCATAGGAAAGTTTTTGGTTGATCAACCGGAAAATCCACATCTCCAATGCTCAATTTCAACATTAATTAAATTTGAACACATGTCAATCAATGGATTAATGTTTAATCTACATGAATTGAATGTTAAAAGAATAGGACTTTCATTTGAATTGTTGCCTCTAATGCATCCATTCAACAACCATACAATTTGTATATGTGGATTTATTCAATTATTAATAAAATCAAAGAGTATATTAGAAAAAAACCACAAATTCCAATAATTATATGCATGATGTTATTTTTTGTTGATTCAGTTAATTTTTATTTATATCATCAAATTTATAAAATTATTATTTATTCAATAATTTCTCAGTTACAATATGTATAACCACACAATAAATATTTTTTTAATTGGTTCAAAATAAAACAACAAAATATTAAAATTGCAATAACTCAACAAACAAATATCATGAACATAATATTTTACTTTTAAGGACATTATTATTGATAAATTTTTTAAATTTTAGTTGTAACTCATCAAATAATTATACTGTATTCAAATAAATTCTCAAATGTTTTATTGGATAAATGTAAGGGTGGGATTTTTCCAAGTTTATGAAAAGCTCAAAATTTGTGTCAAATAATTATCAAAATGATGAGTAATCATGTTAGAAAGAATGTGAGAAATTAGAAAGTGAGCTTGACAATGTTAACATTAATTTTTTACACATAAGCATGAAAGGACTCATAATCTAATGCATTGGAGGATATATTATTCACACACTTTCTATCTAGATTAGGTGGATAACTTTTTACCCTTTCAAAAGAATGCATTAGAGATGCTCTAAGAGTGCAATTTCACATGAGCATCAATATCGCAACTAACTTGTATAGCTTCTTTATGTGTAGTTATGAATAGACCACAAGTAACAATAGTATTCTTGTAGTATTATGTCAAGCAACCAAATACCAGGCCTCCCATCAACTTGTTGAGTTGTAAGATGAANAATTGACACTCACCATTATCTCAAACAATCACACTTCCAACATTTTTCATGTTCAGATGCTAACCAATCATCATATGCAGGAACAATTCAAATGTTAAAACAACCCTACTCAAAATCAAATTTATGAGTGGCTGTTGCAGCTTCATTAGGGGCATGGAATCAAACCAACACAGGGATCTCTTATCAAAAAATTTCGAAATCCAGATACATACCGTTACATTAAATATATCAACAAACATTCATGCACAGGTTAAATAGCCATGCCGCATGATTATGAGAATCACTAATCTATTTCCCGGTTTTACCTTTTCTTTTTGGTTCGCCTCAATGCTTTGAACTATGAGGCAACCTGAACGAGCCCCCAGCATAGAGCATCTTGTAAACTGGGACAAGCCTCAGGCTCAATACCACACTAAGCATAGAGCCAATGACCGATACCCCAGACAAGACAAGGAAAGTGGTTCGAAAGCAATTCGGACCTAAGCAAGTCGAGGATTGTTGCCTTTCGGCTTCTTTGTCGTATAAAAAGCCAGCAAGAAGGTTTGAGAATAGATACGCGCCCAATGGATTACCGAGGGAGATGAAATTGAAGAACATGCCAAAGTTCTTGAGCCCGAAAAGCTCGGAAGCAGTTGGGACCATGATAGAGAATTGGAAACCATAGCAAATGCCGAGCAATGAAGTGGCTACAAAGAGGGTACCATCGAGACCCGAAGCAAAGAGAAGGTAAGTAATCGCCATTATTACTTGCGTGACCGTCATCCAGATGGTCCTCGGGATCGCCTTTGACCTGCAAAGTAATGCTTTCTCAGCAAATTGCGAATTGCTAAACAATGGTAGTAATATAAACAAACAACAACAACAACAACAATAATCCCTTTTTTACCATCCCACGGGAGAGGTTTGTTTCCTTAAAAGTTTAGGAGTGTTTGCCACAACACACTTGATTATTGCATCTTCTATTATTCTGTTTTCTTGAGATAACCATGAAAAGATATGGTCATAAAAGAAACTTAATGTCTTAACTAACTCTATTTTAAAAGAAAAGGTAGAGAGAACCTTTGCATTGAACAATAAATTATAAAGAAACAAACATAAAACTATGTTTGACAGCCTCAATTAGATATTCCTGAATTTGGAAACCCAATGGTGCTTTAAACATCAGGAAACAATACCAACATTTCAGCGGAAAAGTAGTGAAGGTCCTTCATGCTCAAGTATTAAGACACGAAATATGTGCTCAACAGATTTGCAGCAGTCATGTAGCTACAGTTTCTTATTATAAATAAAACAAGAAAAGAAAAAAAAAGAAAAAAAAAAAAAAAAAAAANCTAACCTCACAAGATACTCAGAGACAACACCTCCACCGAGACGACCCGCGAAATTGCAGAAGCTAAAGAGGGACAGCAAAACCTTTGTATCATGCATATACTGCGCTATACCTATCTGAGCCAAGTTATTCAAAACAGTCACCCCGGACCCCACCCCAACAAAGTAAGCCAAGAAAAGTAGCCAGAAATCGGCCTTCACCATAGCCTCGAAAAACGTGAAATCCTCCCCTCTCCGCGGCCTCCTTTTCTTCTCAACTGCTCCTTCTCCCTCAGCAAGAAGCACGTTCACATCTTCCCCATCACGTAAGTTCTCAAGATTCGGAGCCGAAGAAGATGGCTCCATAAGCGGCTCTCTCATGCCAGCATTATTACAACTCGAGCGAGACTCGCCGAGGTTTGACTTTGACCTGTAGAAAGTCATCTTAACCGGGACAGCAAGCGGGGCCATGAGAAGAACCACCATCACAACAAGAAAAACATATCCCACAGCACGACTCAGATTTAGCACGTCATCCAAAACAGTAGTAGTAAGAACATACACGCCAAGGACAACGCTGGCTATTTGGACGAAAACAAAATGCTTGTGTTCGGAAGGGTCATCTCCTGATGCTGGTGCGCACGGTCTCACGAATGACATCATCACGAGACAGATGGCGGGAATTCCTAGGGCGAGGAAGATTAGGAATTTAGAGGATGAGCCGCGGAGCAGAACACTGTACACTTCGGTGTAAACGGCGGCACTCAGGCCGCTGTACCCTTTGAGAATGCCGGCCACTGTGCCTCGGCTGAGGGGGAAATTCCTCATGTTTGTGACCAAAACAGCTGTACTGAACCAGGCACTGCTGTTTGTCCCGATGCATAACGCGATCCATAACTGCAAAAGAGCAATCGGCTCAGTTAGTTTGTTATAGAAACTCGGTCTTGGGTTCACGAGATTGGTGTTAGTTTGTTCATTGTTGTGTGTTTACAGTAAAAAAGTTAGCAAAGACAACTGATACTAAAAATAAGATACGAGTTAAATTAAATATGGAGAATATCTGACAAGTATGGACTGAAATCATTGAACTAGCAAGTTATGTTAGGCGTAGTCAGGTTATGTGTTTTACGGAGAAACTGTTGAATGTGATACTGAACTTCCAATGCTATCGATGCACCTGGAAACTGTACAAGGTCTTTGATCAATCATCAACCTCTGGATTTAATATTTTTCTTCCGCTTGCTAATAACGCTGTAGAAGATTTATCAAATCGACACTCTTCAACATATTATAGCTTTTCTGAAAATCAAAGCTCAAGAAGACAGATTCAGCTTAGCCATTGTCCTTCATAAATATGCTAACAGAGGATTTAATGTGTGACTATAACTAACTTACATATTCCATAAACTTTAAGCCAGAGGCTATAGAAACCAGATAACATCTATCTTTTAATTTTTTTTTCTGCTGAACACACGACATAACTAAGTTTAGTACAACTCATGTGCTACAAATCAACTCTCTTTCTTCAACGTACGTGCTAATTATGAGTCCCCAAATGTTAAAATCACATTTAAAGATCAGCACAGCTAAACTAAAAATAAAACAAAAACCATGTTATATATGTAGAAAAACCTCTCGAATAATTGTAATCTCAAGTTACCATTCAACAATGTCAATCAAACACCGGGGTGCCATAAGTATCATACCACAAGGCAACTTCAGGAATATCTGCACACAACACAACACAACACAACACAACGCAACACACACACAGTCGGGGGGAAGAGGACCAAGCAATTCCTAGCTACAACACTTGAAAACAGAAATCTATATTCCCGGAGAAAGGTGATGTTCGAATTTCTAAAGTATTTCTCAATAAAAAATTCATTAAACCCTTCAGACTCCTCCTGCACTAAACCCACAGCCCACAAAATCAAACCGTAAAATTGAAAATAAAACGGGGAAATAGGTCCGAAAAAAGAGGCAATAGCTCACCACCCAATAGGGCAAGGAAACAGCGGGGCCGCTAAGGGCGAGCCAGAGAACCCCATAGCCGAGGAAGCATGAAAAGGCACCGATCGCGAGAACAACCCACGGCGGGAACCTGTTGCAAGCGAGGCCAGGCAAAATACCCACGTTTTCTCCGATGTCATTGGCGACGCCGAGCAAGGTGAGCTGGCGCTGGTTGAAGCCGAGGACGGATTTGAGCGAGTGGGAGTAGAGAGGAAAGTTGTAAGCATTACCGGAAGCTATCTGCACCCACACGGCCGCTCCGAGGCCCACCCACGGCGGCCGCGTCCCCCATTTCAAGGCTGCCATTGTTGCCTGTCCTGCGAGCTTCTCGAGACTGGGGACATGTAAAAATTTCAAAGGTATGCGAGGGGTAGCGAGAAAAGTCGGTGAAAAAGGTGATGTGTCTTTTTGTGACTTTCATGTTGTGTAGGGGTAAATTCGATGCTGGCGGTGTGGGCACTGCCTTCACCGCCCAAATGATGGACACGTGGCGTTTATATTTTTATTATTTGTTTTTTTCTTTTTTCTGCTAGAAAAACCAGAAAATGTAACTATGGTTATCTACAAATTTTTTTATCCGCCAATTTATCTCGCCAGATCCATATCAAAAATTTTGGAATGAAAATGTTGAAAATATCACTGCCACTATATGTATCGTTTTCCCGTCCTCTTTGACCCTTCTTATTTATAATTTTTTCTTTTCTTTACTTCAACTCCTCAAATAAATCTTCATCTTTGCTCAAAAGAAAAAAAAAAAATCTTCATATTTTGTTGTCG